GTAATTTTGACAAAGTTAAGAGCTAGGCGGATCCTAACGTCTTAACCGCAGTAAACCGCAGTTAGAAATTTCGAGTATAGACTTGATAACGTGATCACCCTGAGTTGAAGAATTCCACAGTGACAACATGTTAACTATTATCTAATTAGATTGATTTGCAATTATAAAATAAAGCAATATAACCAAGTCTGATAAAACATTAATCCCTAAATATCTGGATTAGCATATCAAACTAACTGGATTACTAAGCATTTTGATAGATAAGATTCATATCAATTTATACAAAAGATATAAAAAAGAAACTAGAAATGAGCCATGGCAATGTGATAAGTATATCAGAAAAATTTCAAACTTCTGATTTCAAGCCTATCATCTTCAAAGTCAAACCTGATTCAGAGTTAATTATCAAATCCGTATTAGAGCATTTTACATACTTGAAATTCTGAAATAGTTTCAGAGGGATTGATAATTATAATTTTGCACTATCTCAGTTATGGAGTTTATCATGTCCTATTTGCGATAGAAAATATGGGAATTATGGATTATATGGCAAATGGTATAAAAATAGAACAGAATATTGTCTTACTTGCTTTACTTCAGGCAATAAATTCAAATTCGCAATTGTAGTATAAAAACTCCGTCATGTGAGACCAATCACCTGAAATGTGCAGTATGATATTGGAAAAATTCTTGTCAGCTTCTATTTCAAATTATTGTAGGTAAAGATTTTTTTCTTTGATTCATTGTCCAATCGATCAGTGAAAGTCATGTGATAGTAGTGCAGTAATAAGATTGTCTGATGAATTAACAATCATACCAGTCTGTACGATATTGGATTTCTCACATATATATTAGTTTTGAGTTTTTTTGCAAATTTGTTGTGAACTCGAAAAAAGATTGCTGATGAAGTGAGCTTCAAAGGAAGCACTATAACCCTTGCAAATAATTGCTAAGGAGTGCAAAGAAAAAAAATTAAGCATTCGTTCTTCTCATACAAGACTAAAAAAGATTTGAGTAGGATGCTAAGATCAATGGTAATGGAATAGGTTCCATTAGACAATTTCTGATAGGTAAGTCTCGAAGTCACTCCATTTATTTACTGTATCTAGATGCAAACCTGAAATCATATATAATAACTCTTTTGTCCTATTTCTCTTTTCTTTCTTGAACCTCGCAAAAAAAAATACTACATATTCTATCAACTTTTCTGATAATTTAATGAAGGAAAAGCAGGAAATAAAACATCAGTTAGAAACTATGCTTATTTAATAACAACAAAATCATGTAGTGTGAAATACTTTTCATTCATTCTTCATGCTTTGCTCTATATTGATAAGAGAATAACCAAAAAGAGACCTACAACTTAAAGTCATTGGTGATGAAAAATAATCAAAACCCTAAGGAACTAATTTGTATTATAATAAATAAAATAAGCCTTTTTTGGTAAAATTTGAAACCTTTCTTCTTTGTAATCTTTATTACATATATGAGATTTAAGGATTAACAAAGAGGGATTAATGTAATGATAAAATGCATGCATCATTAAATGGAGATTTTCAGGGAGAGTTGCAAGAAACTGAATCAGATTTGGAGAATCTATTTTTCTATGAATTTCAAGTACTATAAAAATGTCTGTTTAAGCAAACTAGCAACATTTTTTTCAGACCACAAGAATAATGAATGGGCAGGGTATGAAGAACCAAGAGAGCATAATGGAAGCTCCATTTAATGTAGAAAAGATCACTGCCGATGATATCAATATAGATGGTATGAAGGGTATTGAGGATATTGTAAACACCTCATTGATATACTCACTACTTTTACTCAAAGTAATAATATGCAACTAGCTCGCATCTTTACCTCTAACAGTGATACTTATATTATACAACCAGCTCGCAACAGATTCTTAAAAATATTTGCCTTAAATATATTAAAATATCGCCTAAAAGATATTCTTCATGAAAAATCAGATTTTTCGTTAATTAAAAGCTATCTCTGATAATGAATGTGCAGAGATTGTGATATGTCTATTTTTCAGAAGATCTGCCTAAATTGCTTGTTATAAATGTTTGTGGTGACATTATCTATTAGACTTACGCGAATAAAGTAGATAATCATAATGCCTTACCCTGTTCATGTGGCGTGGTTGATGGTAATAATCTATTATAACCAAAAGAAGTCACAAATAATTTGAATGCATCCCATAAGCGGACAAGTGTGAAGGATATCTCTAGCAGAAAAAAAGTGAGAACTAAAAAGAGATTGAAAGATGCATCGCCTATGCTAAAAAAACTTATTGAGGAGTTGAAAACTTTATCAAGTTTTGTTGAGAATAACTCAGAACCACAACCTGAAGCTTAGGGAGTTTTACTAATTTATATGAGGTAATTATCCAGGCTGAAAGAAGAATTGTGACTAACAATCATGAAATTATTAGAGCTTATTATTCATTTGGTAAGGAACTTAAGAATAGACTCGCCTTCTATAAAATTATATATAGTAAACATAAGGCTCAGAAAAAATTAAACGATAAAGTAGGAGAATAACTTCTCAATGATCTCTCCTAAAATGCAATTGAAAAGAGAGGGAAAAGAGCAAAGAAGATTTATGACCTCTTCAGTGAGATTGAGATTGATAAAATACATTATGTATCATATTTCACATTGAGAATTTTTAAGTTGGATTAGGATAAGATTGATACTATTAAAGAAGTGTTTGAGTAATTTTACTACGCCATAGTCATGTGCCTTTCGATAACCAGTAGGTCAGTAGATTCATTTTATAAATGCTCTGTGTCAATGAAAAAAATAATAAAGCTTTGTCTATATCAGGCTATTTGATTTTTTAATTTATGACCCTTAAGAACTTAATGATTTCATATATAACTAAAAATTTAATTCATATCTAGAAATAAATGTCTTATATAAATTAATCGAAATCTGATTAGCTGATCATCTCATGATTTAGCCATTCTTCGAACAAGGGATTATGTATAGAAACTCGCTAGCTCTTAGAACTCTTCTAGAACTATCGAGAAACTGGCAAGGATCTAGAGTAATATATATGATATTAATATACGTTATACCACAAGCTGATTTAGCTAAGCGCTATATATATGCATGTAAATATAAAATTAGCTTATAACCCTATATAAATCCTGATATGCTTATAATTGAATAAAAATGAATCCAATATTTTATTATAATATAGTTATTACAAACTGTTATAAATCGACTATAAATCAATAAAGCAAATCTGTATAAATTTGTATCATGATATTCTTTGATAAAGAATCATTATAATTAACTAAATATATTATAATCGTCAAAATTAACATAAATCAATTAATTTGTTAATAAACATGTCCAGAATAGCTTTTAATATTATTTTAGATGAGCAATTTAATAAAGTTATACCTAAATCCGTTAATAATCGTCTTAGATATGATATAAAATATGTTAATGCATATATTGTAAATTACTGTAATAGAACTGACATCAATAAAATTATCAAAATAGAAAAGAAATATGATATATTATCAGTTATTAAGCTAGGTCAATCACTAGTTGCTTAGGCAATAAGTGTTAGAATTTGATTATAAAAACTATTAACCAATTAGAGATTCAGTTTATATCACTGTCATAGCTTATTTGCTAAATTCAGAAATGGTAAGATGAATAATTCTTATGCTTATCATCAACCCAGAATCCATAAGAGTAATATGGCTATTTGCTTTAATTGCTAGAAATTGGTAAAGATTACTGATGTAAAACTAAAAAAAACATATTTCGGTGGATAATGCAGATATGAATATGAAATTAAATCTAAGGATTTAATGAAATACCATTGGAATAATAAATGTTTCAAAGCTAAAACTGAGAATGAATATGTTAAACTTATTCAAAGAGCTTATAGAAATTATAAGAAAAGGCCTATTTCATTAGCAAAATAAATTTGAAAAATATTTAGAAATGATAACACTTCTAAAGAAAAGAAATTTCTCAGTATGCCTGGTAGAGAAATTCATTATACTATAAACTTGGATATATGGTATTTTATTGATGAATTATATAGACCTTTTAATATTCTGCTAGATCAATTTTATGATTATATAAGTTATTTGAAGCATAAGAGATGCTAATTATCTGATAGATTGGCCATAGCAAGAAATAAAATACAATGCAAAAGCAATACAAGTGAATTATTTATTTCATCTCAGTATGCAAACAGCTAAAAGGTATTGTATTAAGATTAAGGGATGGGATAGTAATCACAATTGTCTAATTGGCTTGATTGATTTTGAGAAATATAGTATATCAATTTTTTTTCTCTATTTTTCAACCATGCAAAATGCTTCGAGGCCAATACATATAGAAAAAATAGTATGTAATATAAATTATCACATTTTTGATTCTTGTTAAAATGCATATGATGTCACTGATTGCCTAGTGAAATTATGAAATGCTTCATATACATGAAGAAAATTGGCCAAGATATCATGCATAATTTGCATATTCTGGGTTAGATCTTCTAATTTATAATGGAGTATTATTTCAGGAAGATCAATGAAGCAATCTTAGGAATTTTTGCTTCCTAAATACTACTATAATTATGGCTTTGAAAATTTCTATGTGACAGTTATCTAGCGAGCTTACAAGAATTACAAGAAAAAACCTGAATCTTTGGTAAAACAAGTTTGAAAGGTAGTGAGGAATGATGGTACTCCTGATAATATAAAGTTTTTTAAGTATAAAAAATGAATCAGAACAATAAGGATATATTTGTTATAGAGATAAGAGACGTTGTTATCCAGTAAGAAATAATTGGATGTATAAGAAGAGAGCCTAATTATGGCAATAATTATATTTTGTAACATTCATACTTGTTAAGAAATTATTATATCAGCAAGGTTATATAGTTATTAGAGATACATATTGGCTTGACATGTTAAAATGGCTACAGAATCCCGAATATTATAGTATTCATAAAAAGTATAATTTTATATACTTCACCAGAATTTTAGAATACAAGACATATAAGATTAAATCATCAGAAATGAAACCTATATGCGATTCACCATTAAAATACATATATTATATTTACAGGAAGGATATTACTATGAATTTCACAGACTTAGATGATAATTGTGAGTTTGTGCGTTGAATTTTCTAGATCAGACCTTAACCCAGATCCCGAATATTATATTAATAAAATAATATATTATCCAGCTATGCGAAGTACCTTAAAGCCAATGCATGAAGGCATATGCGACAACCATTAAAGCGCTAAAGCATAAATTAGCACATTTTCAATTCTCGTTAAAGTGTATGTGATGTAATAAGTGATATATCAAAAATTATTTATAACTCTGTATGACTGCTTATACAACTAATTAATTTTCACACATAAGAAATTGATCCCTAAAATGTTTTCTTATCTATCTGAATAGCATTTATTTGAGTTTATTTCTTCTGGAGCATTGTGTTGCTATAGGTTATTTTTTCTAGATTCTGATCAGAGTATATTTATATAATGTTACTAAGCCTTTTATTACTAAGTGGTTGAGCAAGTGAAATAAAAAAGTATATATATGCATACTTCCCAATGTTGAGATCTATAATGCACATTCTGTATGTTTTACTCTTAAACATAAAATTTTGGCATAAAGTGCCTCTCCTATCTCTTTTTTCCAATATAAATATGAGTTAGAGAGAATATAATTAGGAAATGCAAGATATTTAAAAAGACAGTATGGTGAAAAGGTATTGAAATTTATCGTACATTATTTTTTACTTTGCCTAACAAGCTTTACACTAATATTAACTTTTTTATTCTATCAAAACATAGAAGAATTCCTTTTAATGAGAGAGCCTCTTGATATCATCAAAATCTCTACAATGTTATTTATATGAGTAGAGTAGGGCGAATAGACAAGCATTCTCGAGAAGGAGGTGGAGAATTTTGAGAATATTTTGAAAAGAGTCTTAGAAGGAGTCCCTTAGAAAATGTTGAGCAAAGAAAGAAACTTCAAAGTTTTAGTACTGGGAAAAAATTGGCAAAATGGATAAGGCAGTAAATAATAATCATAGCAGATATGTGGATATAATGTCACGTATTTCTTTAGATTTTCTGGTATATTTATTAGTGAATACGCTGTGTTTGATGTAATATTATTTCCACATGGCAGTAACTAATAATATATGCATAGTGAGATTTCTTTCTGGCCAGACTACTGCTAGCATTCTAATACTATATGAAAATGAAAACCTAATCTGATCTTGCAAATAATACTTCGTTTAATTTATCAAATATATTATTAGCCTAATTTAAGATACTACATTTTAGGTAACAACTACATTTGAAGATTTATGCTCACTTACAAGGATGATTGCTTTGGTATTAAATGCTGAGTCATGGTTTGAAGATACTAATGCAAACTTACAGCTTTTAAAACGTGATATTAGACAGGTTATAAATAATACTTTTAGTTACAAGAGAACTATGTGGAAAAGAATTGAGACACAATTAGAAGAAGTTAATATTGAAAGCCTTGGGTTTGATTATCCTATATATTCTGGAGTTCTTGATATTAAATCTGAACTTTTTACAGAGATGCCTATTTCATTTTATGATATTTTTAAGGAACCTTTCAAAAATATAAGTTAGAACATAATAATATAATTTTAGATAGCTGTAAAGAGTTAATTCATAATGAGAAATCAAAAATAAATTTAATGAAGAATTACATGACATAGAATTTGAAAATTTGCTAGATAGTTCTGAAAAGCTTCAAGAAATAATAAGACGAATACTAAAGTCTTTGTAAGTTATTTTTTAGGTCATATCT